TATTTGTCTCGTAACGGCGACTTCCCGATACTTTTAATGGTTGAAAGACCTCCCCACCGTGCTTATTGGGGCAGTTCAAATCTTGTAGATTTTTCGGTACATACCAATGTGACGCTGCCTGTAAACTGGCTTCTCTCATGTTATATTACTAACGTGAGGATAAAATATTTGTTGCAGCGAGGGTCGTCAGCTTTTCAATAGCCGTAAAAATGAAATGTTAGGTGTATTCCAGTGGAAACTTACGTGAGCAAAGATGGGAGAAATATCGTCATATACTATGGCCTTGTTGACGGAATTCCACACTTATCAGTTGAAGATGCCGTTGGACACTCAATTAAGTTTCCGGTTAGTAGGACGTGCATATGCTGCCATGACTGGTTCGTATTTACCAAGCATCAATATCAGATTAGCATCGACTGTCTGTATCACTTTCGGTTTCTCAGGTGAGTCGCCCGAAAAAGCCTTTGGTCTACGCTCATTTTATTACAATCAACATCGAGGTATAACCAACAGTAGATGTGGCACGGACTCCAATTACGTGTGCTCCCGAGCCAAAATACCTTCGCTTATCCATGACCCAACTTTTTTCGCCGCTCCACGAGTATGACATGGTGGAAAACAGAAGGAATGTTTGGAAGCGTCGGGGAATGGGCTCACAACACGGTTTAGTCTCAAAGTTACAACCAGAAAAGTTTCATCCAAACATGGTGAAAACCAACCAAACAAGCCACTATGGAGATAGATTGTTAAGTGAGCGTTATTTCAATTATAGACGAAAGAAACCGTTAGTGCAACACAATTCAGATCAGTCTTCAGTTTGCGTAATAAGTTCAGCTAACGCCTGAGTGAAGAAACTACCTACGGAAGTGTGTGAGTTCCGAACTAAAATACTTGCGAGTGGAGAAGATTTAGGGTGTATATCTTGTGGACAAGTCGCCGCAAGTTGATTGAATCGGTTTGTTGAAAGTTTCGCGTCTGACAGGCACACGTGTACACTCGGTAAGGTCGCTGAGCATAAGCCCTCTGCTTCTCTCTTTCTTAGGAGTGCGATTCCCAAGCCATTCGTACACCGCATGAGTTGTTGTGGGCATTCAGAAGTAATTAGCGAAGCCCCAGTCTTCAGATTAGACTTACAACTCAGCAAACTCAGTGTTGTCACATTAGCTAGCTAAGCCCCGTGGCAAATAATGTCTTCTTACGTTCCATGTTTTGTTCTCAACAGGACAATGGGTAACCCTTTGTGTCCTCTATCATGATTTTTGACGATAACAGCGCGTGAAATATGCTGTGAAGTGTAGTCTTTTGATAATCTAAGCTCGACCGACTCCAACAATGAGTGGCCATCTAATTACCATCCACCTATCCATTGTACTAGTTAAGGTCACTGTGAAGCTGGAAATACACTACTGGATAAGAAGGACTGTTAGCAGAGGTCTCAGCAGATTTGATTCGGGGCCAGATGTCAACCGGTCCTCTTGTAAAATAACTGGGGCATATTAGGACATATATAAATCTTTCTGAAGCAGATTATGGCTTGATAATATCGGCATACACATGATTAAGTCTGGAATCTTGTTCAGGAAAATTACGAGATGAAACATTTGTGAATATCTAGACTTTCTCTACTTGCCAGTGCAGGTGGCGTTTCGACCGATTTTTTCTACCTTGATCTATGTCAGATTATACAATGTTATCGTTAGCCAATTGAAAAGTGGCCTGCTCCCCGGATCGAGAAATGTTCATCGGTTTCACATGCGGCGGGGAGCAGATAGGTGAACTTTCCTACTAATTATGCCGCACTTCAATACGGAATATCCTACAGGAACTCTAGTGGGTTGAAGTCAATCAGACAGAACTCCTCCACTGATGTTTTACCCAATGGTTGAGCGCAAAGTTAGCATCTGCCTATTGAACGCCACTCAATTTCATGCACGACCTATCGTCGGCTACGTCATTTTTACCGTCCTGAAGAAACTGTATCTGCTCTGTAGGTTTTGAAATGAATTTTAGGTGCCATAACTCACGGCGATTGGGTGTCGTCTTTTGCATGCCCGCTTCATGTCATTTGCCTGTAGTCAACAGATATTCTGAATTGTCACATCACCTGTGTGCGTGAAATGCCCCGAGGATAAATATGGACCAACCATTTCTTTTTCTCACGCACCATATCTAGATTATTTGGGGTTCGGTCACTTCGGAAAGGATGATTTCGGTTGTTATTTGCCACCGGAAACCTGCCTCAGGACTGCAAAAACAGCCGGATCTGATACATCGGTTAAGACATGTAGGAAGACATTGATGTGCTGAACTGCCGGCAGTGTTTCAGATTAAGTACTTTCAACTTCCCAAATGTCATAATGGCCCCCAATATTAGCTATAATGTTCTGGAATGCACACATGTCCTGGGCAATATAAGTCTAGCGCGGTTTACAGTTCTCAGCATGCCACATTTCAAAACATATGCTCCAAATACAGCATCCCTAAGCAAATCAATTATAGCACCTTGGGAAAGCCAATGGAAAAATTAATCCAGGTTACAGTATGAAGCAATCAGTTGTGGCTAGGTTATTGCCTAGTCTGGAGTCTGGTGATATGGTTATGAGCAATATTTTATGCCCGAAAGGTCATGATCACGTAGATATTAGGTCATTGTGTGCTATAAATTAAACAAACAAATCTAATGTGTCTAACCGTCTCTTGAATGAGTCGACTGAGGAGGCTATAACGATATGTCGCGGTAAGGCATCCCGCAGAGCGCATACTCTCAGGGAGAAAAATTGGACCTGAGTATGGTATTGGCTCTCTCGTGTGCTATCTTAATGGAATTTCCTCGTGAAGACCGCTGTGTTGCAGGTAATGTCGATTTATTTGTGTGGTTTGCCTGGTGGGCAATCTTGTAGGCCGTAACAAGGTCACTCCTCTTCCTACGATAACCCAAGATGAATGGACTTAGGTGGTTACGCCTTTCAGGATGTCTTCCCCTTAGCCTCGCAACTGATTTTATTGCAGTTCTTTGCATTTTTTCAAGATTATAGTCTCTCTTGAGTGCTGCAACGCTTTCTCGAGTCTTTAGTTCGCGCGTTCTGCCTCGCGCTTCCCTCCAAAATGAATCGTGTTTTGCCCCGCTCTTTTATTTCCTTCGTTTTCTCCTACGCTTCTTCGCGGAAATATCGACTGGGAGTGCTGTGGAAGACTGTTAAATAATTTTCAAATCTTATAATAAATGTATACCTAGTATGAAATCTCACTCTGTTGCTTTGGTAGCACCCGCGTATTCGTGTAGGGGTGAAGGGTATGTAATTTTCCAATGGCAATTTTGCTTACGGGATCGAAAATAACTAGAGACACCGGTGATAGCGAATAGCTCTTCTGAAGTAAGGAATTGGAGGGAAAACCACAGCAAAAGGTGGGAGGAAGAATAACAGAGGTATGGGTCCTAATGAAATGGAACGTGGGGCTAAGCGGAAAAATAGCGACGCATTTCCAGAGGAAACGTGGGACAGAACTTGGGGACCATAACCTCGAGGAAATGTTGCCAAATCGCGCCTTCTGCCCCAAGTTTTCATTTCAGCCTGGAGCATGCCCCTCTGTTTGACCCCGCGTATAAGTTGAGTAAGGTTAAGTGAAGTCAACTATTGCGCATAGTTTGCCTTCATGTGTATGAAGTAAGCAATATCATTTCTATGACACGTTGTGAACACATAACATATACTTCTTCATAGGGCTGAAATCGTAAATCACACAGGAGACGGAGCATCAATCTTGTTTTCTGCTGAAAAAAGATTAAGGTGGATAGTCGTCTGACAAATCTATGTGTTCATCGAATGAATATGCTCGAGGCTGTGGTTATATGCTGCAGTGGTCATGTGGGAACTAACCAAATCACGAGACAGACCACACAGATTGGATAGTCACAACGAGGATGAAATTCAACTTGACTGGCTAAAGTGGTAAGAGCATAGATTCTTACCGTCCTTGAGCGGCCACTTAAGGACATTGAAGTGTCCAATCATGTTGAGAGTGGGTGTGAGGTCGTTCCAAAAAGCACTGGATTATTGAAAGGATTGGACTGGCTATGGATTAACCTATGCACAATTTTGACGATGATATTTTTGAACGGGGTTGAAGAGAAGCACAAATTTTATTTAATTTCAAGTGACTTAGTGAACAACAAGAAATTCATGTGTGGTGACAACACAATGAGACACTTGGGATGGATACGAAAAGTGACAGTTCTCTTTCTGTACCACCTCATACCTCAGCAAACAACGAACAACCATACATCTCTTATACACAACAGTTTTCATCAGCATAAAAAAATCACTGGTTAAAAGCTGAACAGCTTGATCTGATTGGTCAAGTGTAGGACAGAAGTGTCTGATCAGGTTTTTCCTGACCACACAGCAACACAGAACAAAAATTAGGCTGCAAAATCTTCTGGTTTAGTGACTGATGACTCAAAATGTTGATTTCCATTTAGGCCGCGATGAAAGGGGCAACTAATTGAAGCCTCGTTTACATCTGTACCATAGTTGGGTTAGTTTAAAGCCCTATGGCCATCTGGATGCACATCTCTGTGATACTTACTATTATCTGAAGCAGGGAAAAGCAGTCGAGAACACAAATAGTTTGTCTAACGTTAATAAAAACCACATCTTTTGTAAATTTAAGTTTGATTTCGTGGATAAAATCGGAAAAGAAATGACCTTTTCCTTATTGGTGCATTCAAGGTCATTCATCCACCTCTCAAGGACGGCAGGATCCTATGGTTCTCCCCTCCACATTAGTTTGTCAGTTCATTACCGGCTTTCAATCAGTTATGGAAGCATTCGAAAATATCAAAATTGCGTCAATTAATTTTATTTAATTTTCTCAGTCTAAAGCACACAGTACGCACTCTCACATACTCACGATGGTAATATGAGAATAAGGACAAAAATGGCAAAAACCTTGTCATCAGAGAAATTTGAAGTTTTGGATCCATTGATTGGCTGACTTTCCTATTTCCGACTGCTGCTTCTGCCTAAAATAATAAGTGTAAATAGGAGTTATTTAAAAGATATCCGGTTAACACCCAAGTAGTTGGTAGGAAGTTGCTGACTTCAGTAGTGAATGAGCAACAAGGATTCGAACTAGTGTGGATAACGCCAGTTTCCTCATAGTTGGCTAGCATGAAACCTAATTCAAACGGACTTGTTAGCCACATCTTAGACCTTGGTTGGTAAACTTCAATCACTACTAAGCAGTGGGGATGAGACAGTTACATACTGGTCATCAACTACTTCAACATTGAACCTTTCACTCTATACTATCTTATTCCATTTGATGGTGATAGGAAATAGGTAAGTTTAGAGTTTTGTCTGTCTAAGATTTCACTCCGACTTTTGACTCAGCTCCAAGTTTCAGGCTGGTATTCAGATCCAGGGATGTTCCAACACAAACTTGGTGAATCGGTCGCCTCGGCGAGCAAGAAACATCCAAGCAACGCATCCACATGAAAATGAGTACTAATCCCCCATAAAAGTGAGCAACGTTATCCCAGGAACCTCCCGATGCATCCACTTTCTTTGGGTAATCGGTTCGTTGAGCGTACCCCCATTTCTGTCTATGGACGTGAGTAGGACATATCTCCGTAAGTTTACAGACCCAGATTTATGAAAAGGCACTTCTCTAGGAGACTTGGTCCGCGAACCCACAGCTCTGATAGATTCAAAGTGGTGGTTGCCTTCGGACTACTGATATACACTCAAGGCTAGAACTAGCAGCACTGGAATCCTGGACCGAATATCTTTCATCTTCGCAAGATAAGACTATATACATCTCTCTATATTGGTCCAGCACCAGTGACTGACAAAATAAGGAGTTTGCATTCATCTTACCCTTCATTTACATTATTCCCCAAGCACAGTGGGTAAGAAGTAACAGTTGACAAAAGTGCCCGTGCTTCAGATACCAATGCCACCGATGTCGCGCACATGGCTTTCGTCAACCACAGTTCTCCGTAAGTCAACTTGATGGTCTACTGGTTGAAATCCACTGGGACCACCAGGAGGCTCACCGCCATAAGCAACCGGCCTCGAAAAGTAATCCTCGGCACATGAGACATCCCTCACCTTTCCTAGCCAGCAAAATGAGCCTAGTATCATTTAAGTACATTGTGAATAGCATCTTCATGCTGACGCTCCGGTAACTTACCACAGAGTTTGTAATGCCGCAAAGAAAGTCATAGTTACTCTAGGGCGGAGTTACACCATCATAAAAGATGGAAATTGTCGCAGTATATGCGCTGTACTACATTATTTTATAATATGGTTAGGAGGAAATTCCTAGTCACAGATGCATAAATGAGGTGATTTGGGGAGTGGATCACTAGTTAGATAGGCAGACATATAAATGAACTCAAGGTTCTATCAAGTGTGAATCAATCGGATTACAGCGACTATAACATTTCAAATATTATATCTCTGCCTCGATATTATCATCCCAGCAACTACTGGGACGACCAATTGCTTTCCTTTATTTTCAGAAAAATCACCTTCCTGTCCGTATACCTGAAACGTGATTGGTTATTTTATCGGTTGCTAGCATGACCTTGAAGGTCACCCTCGGATGCCACAGTAATGAGTCTAAACTGTTGTGAGTAATGGATAAACGTTATTGGTCAGTCATAAAACAGCATACTTCAATGACCAATCCATATTCCAGTTCAAAGCGGGAATTATAGAATTATTTGGTAAATGTGGAAAGAAATGAAGTTCATGAAGTTGATCAAAACTCTTGAAAATTGTACAACAGAGATGAGATTCCTAAGTAACCTAGGTCAATTTGTATATAATTTTTCTAGTATCGATCCTAATGTTATACTAACAGAAGTTTTGTCACTTGGACCAAACTCTTGTGATAGTCGTAATACGATTAGTAAGACGGAAACATAAATTCAGTTTAGGAACATGTATACACTGACACATATCTACACATCATCTAGTCCAGTCTAATATAAGAGTAGAACTTGGGCACTGTATTATTATTATTATTTGTCCCTTGGGTTCCTAGTGGAACATACGGCTTCAGCAGCACATTTCCAGTCCACTCTGCATATTTGTTGAGTGATAGGTTCTTCGTTTATTCGTTCCCAGAGTTTCTTATTGCTCATTCTTTCTAGCCATCTGAGCTTTAGTAACGAGCCAGTGTAGGCGGTAGTCGCTGATGAATATCTGTGGTTTGTTGGGAATCCCTATCGTAACGCCCCAAGTCTCTAAACCATATAACAGCACTGACTTGACTTTGGTGTTGAAAATGCGGACTTTGTTCTTTATGCTGAGTGCAGAAGATCTCCACACTGATCTCAGGTTAATGCAGGAACGCCTGTCTTGCTGTCTTCCCGATCCTGACTGGCTTTGACGTCCTCATGCGTGCCTGTGCCGCCTGTAGTTGAAACAATACTGCCTAGATAGGTGAGAGAGGCAACTTCCTTTCAGTTTCTTCCATTGATGGTGATTAGAGCTGGTTGTCGTGGGTGGTGGTGGTGTTGGTTGGGCATCATTATCACCTGTGTCTTCTCTACTTTCGCTGGAAGTCCCACCTTCGATGCCCTGCCTCTTCTCTCAACTTGTTAGTTTTCGCCTGTAGATTTTCAAGTTTGTGTGACATTGGACACAAGTCATCGTTGGCGCAATCCAAATCTTCTAGGATCTTTTCCTTTGTCCAGCGTATGCCTATCTTCCTGCTCTTCACTGTTTGTGTTGCATGATCCAGTCGACCACAATCAGGAAGATGATGGATGATAGTAGACAGCCTTGTTTAATCCTGTCTTCAAATACTTTGCAAACTCAATCAGTCTTTTTTTCTAATGGGATCAGTCAACTCAATTGGTCAGACTTATCACGATGCATTTTTTTAGCAACCAATAGACAAACAGTGAGTAAATCATACAGAAAATCGATATGCAATCAAAAGATATGATAATATTACTTACTAGATGTTGATTTCCGTTTAGACTCATTACTACCAGAACTACTGGATGTTTTGGATATACGTTGACTAGACTGTAGTATTAGTGGTGGTGGTGGTGGTGTCGGCAGTTGAGTTTGCTGTGACAAGTCAATTGAAGCTGTACTTAGTGGCCTGAAATGTTTTATTTGAGAGACAGAGAGAGAGAGAGAGAAAAAGAAACACTACTCATACTGATTATCAGTAACAAGAAAGAGACGGATAAGGTGAATGATTAAGGTCTCAGTAGCTAAATGACCTCATAACTAAGGGAAAGTTGGTGAAAAATCAAATAAAGTGGTGACAGACGACGTTAATTTTAATGAGAATATAATATATCCTATAGGGGATAGGTGATGGATCGTGATACGTAATACGCCTCCTCTACCCCACTAAAAAAACCTAACTAACCGACTACGATTCCTCCTAAATGTTGTACGTTTAACTACCTCATATTGATTAAGACATAAACCACCAGACTGATTTACAACAATACTTGTCAAATGTCAACCATTACGGAGAACATTTCGCAGCTGTGAACTACATCAAAATTATCTACGGTGCATTGAAACTTGCATATGATAGACATTCAAGTATTACAACGACACCTCAAACGGTGGGTTTCAGCGAAAATTGAAGTATATCAATGCATCTATGCTAGTATTTAACCAATCAGTATCTCTTCATGGTCGATACCATTTCCCATCCAAGTGAAGTAGTCAATTCATTCAGTGACTTCATTTTTATCCCAGTTATCAGACAGTATTTTCAAAGTATATATTATATATTTCTGATATGAATGGGGATTTTTAATTTAGAAGTAGTATTCATCATGGACTGACATCAGTTGGGGAACCGTTGAAAATCTGGGAGCAGTGGACAGCTGTTTCATCCTAGTATGGGACTCCTCAGCAGTACGCACCTACGACCCGGCTGGGGTCGAACTCAGGACCTTCCAGTCAGAAGTGAAGTGGATGCTAACTGAAGACCTTGGGCGACAGTAGCGCTATATCGTGAATTGACAGAAGTTGGAAATTGTGAACCACTGGAAACCTACTGACCCAGTGGACGAATGGTTAACGCGTTCGCCGTGAAACCTGAGGGTCCTGAGTTTGACCCCCAGCCGGATCGTGGGTGCGTACTGCTGAGGAGTCCAATGCCAGGATGGAAAAGCTGTCCAGTGCTCTCAGATTTCCAATGGTTCCCTAACTGATGTCAGTCCATGATGAATACTACTTATATATTATTTATTTATTTGTCTCTTAGGTTCCTAGTGGAACATCAGCCTTCAGTAGCACGTCTCCAGTGCACTGTCTTCCCTGCAATCTTTTGAACCCGGCTCCATGACTGCCCACAAGTTCTCATTTCTTTCTCACACGATCTCCTCAGTGTCACACTTGGACTCCCAACTCCTCGTTTTACATCTGGGTTCCACTCGAGACACTGGAGCATGATATCTCAGAATAGTCTTCTTAGTGCATGCTCAATCCACCTCCACTTCCTTCTGCATATTTGTTGGGTGACAGGTTCTTGATTGGTTCGTTCCCAGAGTTCCTTGCTGCTTATTGTTTCTGGCCATCTGATCTGCTCTTGAGTATCGAGCGTAGGCAGTTGTTGATGAATATCTGTAGTTTGTTGGGTATCCCTATCGTAACGCCCCAAGTCTCTAAACCATATAACAGCACTGACTTGATTTTGGTGTTGAAAATGCGGACTTTGTTCTTTATGCTGAGTGTAGAAGATCTCCACACTGACCTCAGGTTAATGCAGGAACGCCTGTCTTGCTGTCTTCCCGATCCTGACTGGCTTTGACTTCCTCATGTGTGCCTGTGCCGCCTGCAGTTGAAACAATACTGCCTAGATAGGTGAGAGAGGCAACTTCCTTTCAGTTTCTTCCATTGATGGTGATTAGAGCTGGCTGTTGTCGCTTGTGACATTAGTTAGGTATCATTATCACCTGTGTTTTCTCTACTTTCACTGGAAGTCCCACCTTCGATGCCCTGCCTCTTCTCTCAACTTGTTAGTTTTCGCCTGTAGATCTTCAAGTTTGTGTGACATTGGACACAAGTCATCGTTGGCGAAATCCAAATCTTCTAGGATCTTTTCCTTTGTCCAACGTATGCCTATCTTCTTCCTCCTCACTGTTTGTGTTGCATGATCCAGTCAACCTTAATCAGGAGGATTATGGGTGATAGTAGTCAGCCTTGTCTAACTCCTTTCTATCTTCACTTCAAAGGTATCACTCAGCTTTCCATTGTGAATCACTTGGCATATAACATCCTCATATAGCATGTAGCTGCTGTTGAATGAGGTTGATAAAGGTTTGTGGTATTCCATATTGCTGAATCAACCGCCAAATTGCTCCTTGGTCGACGCTGTCCAAGGCCTTTTTCAAAGTCGATGAAGTTGAAGTAGAGAGTTCACTGCCATTCTGTTGTCTGTTCTATAATGATGCGTAGCGTTGCAATTTGATCCGAACATGATTTGTTCTTCCTGAATCCAGCGTGCCCTTTAGTCTCTCCAGTACCAATTTGTATTTGACAGATGTGGTGAAGGTAGCCGAGAAGCACTTTCAAATTTTAACCCAGCAGCTTATCCACCGCGTACTTCAACATACCATGCTACTGGAAGTTAGAAGAGGGTTTAGGGTGGTCAGACTAAGATCTCCCATCAGTCGATGAAGTTCCTTACTGCTGTAGTGTAGAGTCCCACGTCGATTTTGTCAGTAGCTCAGTAAGTCAGCAAACATCATCGAAAAAGGGGAATATTCTCAATGGTTTTCTCTCTATGTATCTTATAGACTGTAAACTATTAATTTATTTTATTAGAACACAAAACGGTATAGCAAGGATACCAAGATACGACGTCATACACTGACGGCCGTCCGCTTCTTCCTTACAGTACCAGAGTTGACAATCAGTGGACGGTGTTTCAGGATGACTCCACTTATTGAATGTTGACCTTTATCATAACTAAACACATACTGTCGTACCTAAGGATTACTCACATACTGTTGCCACCGGATATGAGAAATCATACCAAAACAACGATGATCTCTTCAGCTCGGCGAGGCTCACACTGAAGCGTTGCAAAACCGACGTTTTACGGTCAGGCTAACGTCACGACGTGTAGATCTGCTGCCCGGAGAACGACTATTCGACCTTGAATATACAGACGATATCGTCTTTCTGTGCGATAACACATACTTAATCAGTTGGCGGCTAATGTGTATAAGTATGTTATATGTTTCGTACCATTAAAATTTAAAGTTATCTTACAAGATTGGTGGAAACCTGTACCTGCGCTCACCATCAATGGTAATCCGTTGGAAGTAGTCGAAAAGTTTGTGTATCTAGATATTCGTGTGAGTGTCGGTGGAAGTATGAGTAGTAAAATTTCCAACTATAAATCAAAAGTCAGATTGTAAGCTAATCTGACGCTGTATCGGATAGTGTTACATTCCAGAATCTGGAAGAAGTCTAAAATCCTTGAATATGCTCAGAATCAATCTAAGTTACTAGGAAGTGTCTAAGAAGACACAAGAACACATTGTAATAACTCTTTCTTTTTTTGTTTTGTCGAAGAACACATTGGTTAGGAAGATAAAGGCAGTTGAGAACACTCATATAGAAAGATCCGTAGTAAACAAGGTCATTGTAGGTATACAAATATACCGCTGTGTTCTGAATACTATTGGAATGACACACAAGTAGATAAACAGACGGACAGACAGACAGATATACCGTGCCAATACAAATGATTACTGTGTATGTGTGTGATATTGTTGAGAAGTGTTACGTATTAGCAACAACAACATGGACAACAAAAGCTGCAACAACGACACCAACATAAGGGATTACCTGAGCGTCCTTCTTGAATGTACAACAATTGATCGTCTTGGGTGAAAATCAACAGGAGAAAAACATCCATAGTCAGTCATATAATTAACATGTTAACTGTCCGAATTCATTGAAAGCAAGTTAGATATGGAATGATGGCCATATTATTGATGTGACTGATTCTGTAAGCCTCAAGAAGTTTAGCCTAATAGGCCGATGAATATGTATCAACCAGCTTTTCTTGAAAAAGGAGTAATCGAATCTGTTTACCAATGCTAGTTCATAAGAGAAGTTCGTGAAGATCTCAGTTAGCCTTTGGGGTGGAATTCAGTCCACTATATTTGCCTACTCCTGTCAAGTTGCAATATAGCTTGACTTTCACCCAGTGGCATCGTTGGGAATTTGTCTTCATGTTCAACTTGGCTTGCTTCACTTAGTCACAACTTCTCATTAGGACCTCGAGATACCTCATCTCTAAACACTTCAGTAACAAGCGCTGGATGATAATTCACTATGAGCTTTTTCAAGTTTTAGCGACTACTGACGAGGTCGTGACTGTGCAGTGAGCAAAACATATAATGTGACGGCTAAAGATGCCATGAACTGGCTGCCCGAGACTTTGGAGGATCGGATGAGGCGCGGATCATGACGCAGTGGCCACTAGTCATCTTGGAAAGCCATTCAGCTACAGAGCGCTCATTCAGCATAACGGTTAACGTTATTTCGTCTGTCTGTGGGGCACGTCAACAGAGGACGTTTACAACTCTGAGAGAAGCGATATGTGTCCGTAATCGCAGTGTTCTTACAGTAGGTTGCTCACAAGCTGAATACTCCAAGAGATGATGTTTCTGCCTTCAACATTGTGCCCTAATGTGCACAGACCATTCTCATCCGTAATTGCTAAGGGTAATTAAGCATATGAAAATAACTGAGGACTTTAGCTAGGTAGAGTAGATCTCCGTACACCGGTGTCGCGTCTCAGTCTTCTGAACACCATAGGACTTTATGTTTAGAGACGAGACTGGATCAGCAATCAACGTATTCTGCCATCTTTACTCTCTGTCCTTAAACTGGAAGTAGCTGTAAACCAGTCGTGAAACATCATGTTATAGGCATGCCAAACATACTAAGATTTCGGGTTGAGGCGTTCTGAAGATCCCTAATTTTATCAAAGTTTTCACTTAAAAGGATAATGTTGCTTTCTTACCCCAGGTTACCGAGGTATTTTTTAGGGTGGACAAGTTAACCCCTGACAGGTTTGAGGTATTTAGATTTACTTCTGTGAACAAATTTACGAATAAGTTAAACATGCATGACTCTAGAAGACAGTTATGGTGAGTAGGACTACTTGTTACCAGCCTACATAAGTTGCAGAACCATTGAAACCTATCGGTATGGATCGGGACAACAATGACAGTGGTTCAGTGCTCCCTGAGCTTCGATCGCTTGTCGTAGACGTTTCATCAGCAAGCATATTCATCAGGTGTCACTGGTCTTGAATAGTGTCAAATTTCAAGTTCCGAAGGATGAGGGTGATGAGTGGAAGAGACTTTTGTTGCTAATCAATACCAACTGAAGGAATCCTCAATTCATCGTCCACAATGGGAACACAACCAGGTTGCCTCATTCCTGCTCCGTTAGATGTTTACATATATGCTTACCACGTGTTCCCATCACAGTGATACGTTGTGTGAAAAGAGTATTTTTTTAAATGGTTAGATGAGTCGGGATTCTAACTGGCAAATGTTTCATTATCACGATAGACACTATCAACAGTTCACTGGCATATCGCCAGCTGGTGGTATGTTGAAGCGATGATGCATTGATGATGATGTCTAGTGCGATGTTTACCAAGTAAATAGCTGCGACTTCGAGAGAAAAGTCAATCTGAACATCTACACTCTGAGCTACAAATATTCGTAACTGTTGTCTAATTATCGACTTTGTTCATTACTAGGTTCACAGTAACACATAAAGAACAGGTGGATAGAATAAGAGGAACAAAGTTGTATGTGATCCCAGTTTGATTGTCTGCATGTCCGCATATGGCTCAATTCGATAGTCAGGGACTTTAATTGACTGGTTCCGTGGCTTGGTTTGGCTATAACGAATCCACCTTCCAACCTGACCCAACTTACACTAGGATGGCATGTCGAGTTGCGCAGCGCTGGTTCGTCATTCACAGCACATTTCAAACTTGTTGCCCATATGAATTGAATAGCCTTGGTGAACTCGATTTTAAGCCTATGAAATTACTATTCATCTGTTTTAACCATCTTCACTGCATAGTGTATATGAATATTTTATGTGTAGTGTGTTATATACCCCTAGTTTTGCATAGCTTTTGCCTGTTATTTTGCCCATGAACTTCCCTCTACTCTCAAGACTGAATTCTCATTGGTTGTTTACTATATGTGGATTCAGTGTTCTCAAGGTCATTTAGTAGTGTACATATTCAGCACCTCTGTCAATTGTGTTGACTATCGTCGATACAGTGGGGAGGTATCTGTCAACGATCTATCTTCTCTTTTTGTGATCACACATCGATGACATTGTTATTGTTGTTGTTGTGATGGTGGTGGTTTACGTTCTAATTTGCGTTAGATGAGATTCGGTTACGCGTCAGGTCCATATCACTCATAGATTGTTACGTCATACTACCGGTCATAACGTAATGGTTAGTTAAAACGCTTTTATTTGAGTACTTGAATCCTTGGTTAAAGTCCTCTAGTTGATAAGAATCAGAGGGTAAGAACTCTTGGTCAAATGACGATAGATCGATTAAAGTGACATAGGTGTATTCACTCTTTGACCTCTTCTAAAACTTGAATGTTTCGACTAACCTTTGTTTCGTCTACCTTGATATCACTCCTAACTTGTTCTTTATATACTACTAAGAAGTTTGTTGCAACCTGAACCGATGAAGTTACTGTGTGAGGTTCTACCTTGATTAGTCTCTGTCTATCTGTCTGTCTACCTTAAATACTGACGTGTATCTATCATCCAAGTCAAGCATAGTCACACAATAACACTGAGAAATGAATTTAGTTGACAAACTCACCTATCTTTAACATAAGTGTTTCTTCCACCAGTAGGTTTCGATGAATCCTGTACATCTTGACTACTGTTACCATCATCAGCATCATTCTGCCTGTGTTGACCATCATCACTGGAAGTTGATTCATTTCTTGGTGAACATACTCGTGAAGAGTATTTTGTACTATCAGGTGAAGTTGTTATTGAACCATTAACTGGTGTAGGTGTTGTTTTACTACTATTACTACTGGTAAATGATTTTATCGATGGAGTAACACCACTAGTAAGTCGATGTTGTCCACCTATCAAATTACTAGTTATTGGTAATCCAGAGGATGAAAGCATCACTTGAGCTTGTTCATAAATTATCATATCCTGTTTAACACGATTCAATAGATCAGTTGTTGCATGATTAACAAGCTCTTTGACAAGTCGAGTCTATCACCGAAAAGGATAGATGAATATAGAAGAGGATAAAAAAGGAAAATGCCGTCAAGAAACATTTCTTTACAATATACTTTTATACATATACAGTAGTCTATGAAGTCAGAGATTTATCTGTTCACTTATCACTAATCACGTAATTTTACCCTGAAAGTTGGCCTGAAACATTCACTCTGTTGAAAGTAAATTACACCGAGAGTTACTTCACTTCACCTACATACACCTGCCTTTTCTTTAATATTTTTCCCTTGGGTTCGTAGTGGAACATAGAGCTTCACCCTCGTCTCTACGACTACCCAGAAGCTTCATTTCTTCCTCACATGATCTCCTCCATGTCACCTTCGGACCCCCCCTCCCAGTTTCACTCGACGGCCTGGCACATAATGTCCCACAACGGTTTTCTCACTCTAATTTCAATCTAATCCATCTCCACTTCCTTCTAAATATTTGTTCAGTGATAGTTACTTGGTTGGTTCGTTGCCAGCCAGCCAGAGTTCCACCTTGCTTTTACTTTCTGGCCATCTGACCTCATCTTCAGTATCGAGGGAGTGTAGGTAGCAGCTGTCAATGATGTATGTGTGTAGTTTGTTGGAAATGCTTTCGTAATGTGCCAAGTCTCTCAACCATCATATAGAAGCAAAGCACTGACTTGACTGAACTGGTATTGAAAATCTGCATCTTGTTCAGGCTTTATGCTGAGTGCAGTGCAGTGCATTAGATCTCCACACTAATCCCAGTTTAATACAGGAAGGTCCGTCTTGCTTTTCCGATCCCGGCTTTGACGTGCTCATCTGTGCTTGTGCCGCCTGTAGTTGAAACTATGCTGCTTAAACAGGTAGGTAGGTGAAGGAGACAGCTTCCTTCACATTTCTCCCGTTTGTGGTGATTAGTGTATGTTTTTGCTGTTGGTTGGGTATCTTCATCATATCTGTCTTCTCTAAGTTCACTTGATGTCCCTTCTTCGCTGAATCTTCTGTCCACTTATCGGTTTTTGCCTGAAGATGTTCGAGTTTGTGCGACATAAATCGTCGTCGGTGAAATCCAAATCGTGTAGGGCATTTTCATCTGTCAAACAGCGAGCATATGCCCATCTTCTAGCTCCTCAGTGTTTGTAGCATGATCCAGTCGAGTCTAGTCGACCGCAATCAGGAAGATCATGGGTGATAGTAGGCGGCAATCTTGTCTTACTCCTTCCTCTCTTCACTTCCAAGGTGTCACTCGGCTTTCCATTATCAATCACTTGGCATGTAGCATCATCATATAGCATATGGCTGCTGTTGGATGAGGTTGATAAAAGTTTGTGGTACTAAAACCTCAGTGTTGAAGTGGCTGCCTGCTAAATTACTTCTCAGTCGACGTCTCGATCGAAGGCCTTTTCAAAGTCGATGAAGTTGAGGTACAGGTACAGTTGACTGTCATTCTATGCTCTATTGTATGATGATGCGTAGCGTTGTGATTTGGTCCGCACATAATTTGTTCTTCGTGAAGCCTGCCAGCCTATTCCGTTCGTAATTTTGAATTCAGAGTATATTTTAGTCTCTTCAGGATAATGCGGGTTAATATTTTGCTTGGTGTGTATAGGAGCATGCTTCCGCTAGAAGTCTAGAAAGACTTAGGTCTCCCTTCTTTGTAACTTTGACAAGGTTGCCCTTCTTCCAGTCAGCAGGTAACTTTGCTTCCTTCCTTCCAAACCTTCTGCAGTAGTGATATAAGCATGTCTTCTGCTGTCTCTGGCGGAATTCCATCTGATCCTTCTGCTTTCCCGATTTTCAGCAACTTTATGGGGTTTAGGACTTCTACTTTTATCGGAGGATTTACATTCACTGATAGTTCTGTGGCTGGGCTGCTGGTGGTATTTCTGGATGAGTTGCAGGTGGGTGTGGTGATGTTGGTCGATTTAAGAGTTTTTTGAAGACACCTGCTTGAAGTTGGAAGATTATATTACACAATACCATCACGTCAGCTCCTAGCAAATTACAGACCGAAGTTCCTTACAGTCAGAGAAAGTTGGGTGAAGTCTAAGGATGATAGGATACATGTAAATGTTATTTCTTAAGACTTTAGCAGAGCATTCGACATGGTGCTTAATTCCAAGTTGCTCAGGGAACTGAAAAGTTTGGGAATCACCGGCCATGTAGTTGCATAATTAAGAGAGTTCCTCGTTGGTAGGAGACAAAGAGTAAGGCAGAATTGTCAACTCTCGTCTTGGAAGCTGGTAGAGAGTTGAGAAACGCAAGGCACAGTATTAGGTCCCTGCTATTTCTCCTATAGATAAATGACCTGCCGAATATCACAAAATCCACTATAGTTCTTTGTGCTGACGATGTAACAACCTGGTGGGTAATTAGGAACAATCAGGATGTAGGTGAACTTTAGGCAGACCTAAACAGCTTTGTTTACTTGGTCATCCTCTTGTGGCACAAACATGAAAAAACCTACGATATTGATTGCGACTTCTCTACCATCAGTACTGACCAACGGTGAACTAGGAGTCATACTGAGTTATGATTTGAAAACCACGGTACACTGTCAATCGGTAAGAGCTCGGAGTTTTAGGACACTTCAAGCATTAAATAGGACGTTTACAAAAGTAAGTGCTGATATGTTCACCATCTCCAACCAACAACAACAAACATCGATCACCACCAACGGGAGAAACTTAAAGGAATTAGCCTCTTTCACCTACATACCTACGCAGCACTGTTTCAACTACAGGCAGCTGCACAGACGAGGACTTGAAAGTATTTTCAACACCAATTCAGTCAAGTCAGTGATGCTATATGGTTCAGAAATTTGGCGCGTCACCAAGAGCATTTCCAACAAACTACAGATATTCATCAACAACTGCCTACGCTCGGTACTCAAGAGCAGATCACATGGCTAGAAAGAATAAGCAACAAGGAACTCCTGGGATGAATCAACGAAGCGAGAACCTATCACCCAAAAACTATGCAGAAGGAAGTGGAGATGGATTCGGCATACATTGAGAAGACGCTTCGGGGCATTCCACGCCAGGCCAGTATCTCAAAAGTGGAACCCAGATGGTAAACGAGGATTTGGGCGTCCGAGGCGAGGGTGACATTGGGGAGATGGTGTGAGGAAGACACATATGATCAACACTCTCTTCCCGCTTAACATCTCATACTAAAAGCCATTTCTCACAGGCGTATAACAGAACAGCATGCAATGAAGAAAACTTCACTCATCCACTGATATGTATTCCAATACTTCATGAAGAGATTTCGTCAGGAATAAGTCCATTCCGGCTGACGCAACTCCCTTAATGAAAGTAAAGCGGTCAGACAATCTAGTAAGTGGGAAAATTTATATAAAGAGAGATGAAACCCTTAAGATACACAGTAGCCCATATAATAAGGCGAAGTAATAATGTGAGGAATGAATTCAAGTCGACTAACACGAATATCAGACAATCACTCAGACAAAAACTCCTTCCATCTAAGAAGTCTATTGACCCAATTCAACACAATCATTCCATCTACCACATATCGTACAATAACTGTCAGCTCAAGCATATGGGTCTGATAAGAGTCAGTCAGCTTGATGATATACAGGAACCTTGTTTAACCTAGATTCATATATCCCACTGAGATGAGTAATCCAGAGAAGAATTAAGTCATCACTATGCATGTGATGATACTCAGGTAATCGATTGGGTGGGACAAAGTGACAGTCCTGAAAGCCAGTGTAGTCAGGCGGAGAGAGAGAGGGAGGGAGAGAGAGAGAGGGAAAGAGACAAGCAGACAGATGGAGAAGTTGATCCCTGAATCACTGTCAGTCGATTCAAAGCTTGACAGTTACAATAGGCATCAACCAGAGAACCGACTTCAGTTACTCACTTGTTTACGCATCGTTTGTTTGAAATTTCATTGGCCCAGTGTCCCATCTAACTGATTTAAAATGATTTCTCTAAGTAGCTTCGTAACATCAACAATACTCATTTGATTCACTGTTCATTTCATTGACATCAGATATGAAATATTGACTGCACTCATGGCACCTCCAGATGGTGAGGAGACAAGAAATCAAGCCTATTACATAATTAGAGTAAGTCAATTGATTCTCATTATTCTACACTTGATTACTTCTCCGTTGTTGAGTAGAGTGACAGAGGGAGAGTGAGAGTGAGAGATAATCACAGACAGGCAACCACCACCATCCATTTAACACTTTTGTGAACTTACTCCAGATATTTTCCATCTATTGACTGGTAGATGTAGATGCCTGGTTCAATGTAATTGTCAGGAAACTCACTGCAGTCGGCACTCGTCAGTAGGGCATATCTGCAACCATTGGAGTGACTGATGCACATAACACATTCATACCCACACATTGTAATCAGTGCCACCAACATTGAGATATTCAACACATGATTCACCTTCTGTGGGGCTGTATTACGTGAGGAGACCAGTTTGATTCAGTGCACTGCTAACCGCTGCAGTGGGATCGTCATTCCATAGTTAACTTCATTTGCACAGACACAATAGTCCTTTCGATCATTCATAACCATCCAGATTTGAAGGTCAACTCACTCCTTCAACTTACTGTTCACCATGGACTGACAACACTTGGAGGAGTATTGGGTTTCGTCGTAGCATGGTATTCCTCAGAAATGCTCACCCACAATCCCACCGACGATCAATCCCATAACAAGTACGTTACCATTGGGACACTGCATCACAATCCAATATACTGCGACACCACCCAATGTCATCGTTGAGTATTTGTCCTCATATACAACAGGTTTGTCCCACCGGTCACCACTTCTCATCCCAACTTCACGAATCATCTCTCCAAGCTAGTCGTGTGTGGGCATTGCTGAACAGTCTCACACACTAGAACGAAGCACATAAACTCCCAAGTTAAATACAACTCACTTTTGTCATCTCTGTCAGACTACTCATTCTCCATTGGATGAAGAATGCCACATTCTATTGGGAACGGTATGGCTTGATTGGTAATATTGACGGTTGCTATGGTTGACTCTTACAATCATCCAAGTATTCATTTTGTGTGAGCCAGTAAAGTGAATCGATGTTGAACACTGGAACATGTGTTTTGTCTTAGTTAGGCGTGGATAGCCGTATGTGTCTATCTTGTCAGTGAGACTTTAGTGCATTATCCAAGTTTACGTGGGGGTGGAAAAATAAAGGATTCTAGTTATGTCTTGATTTGTAGATCTTACTAATATGATTAATCTAGCAACGAGTTCACTTGAGAGACATTTGATCGCTGAATCTCTGTCAATCTATTCACCACCATACAATTGTCCATCCATCCATCCAGATCAACTTAGGACTGGATATTACTGCGTAACGTCTGGAGTTTCCACACCTCAAATCACTACATCAAGTAGATGGGTAGTCAGGGGAAAGATGAAGACAAGAAAATTCAGTCAAAAGAAATATCGAGTACGAAAAGAGAGAAACGGGGAATGAGAAAGTGGTGAGGTTCGTTACAGCTTCGTTAAGATGAGGATAATGTGTGTGGGGATACATCGACGCCACTGACATCGGTTCTCAGTCATATCATCACCTAGAATCTCCAACCACTGATTCCTCTTGTCCCGCCAACCCCAACCACCTATTCTACGTAGCCCCACATGGCTCAAACCAACAGTCGGAGACTTCATGCATTGGTGCCATGTTTTAGTCTGACCACTTCAAGCCTTTTTCTAGCCTGGACCTACTCAGCCAACGTTGTGTGACGAGGCAATCGGTGACTAGGCTCACATAGTACGTGCCCCAACCACCTCAGTCTATGAAAGTCCACAACTTCGTCAACCGGCTTACTTCTTCTGCCTCCCCATACAACTGTTACAGAAGTGAACTATAGAAAAGCCTAGACAGCAAGCTGTGTGATTGATTATCTTGATAAAGAAGATGGCCAGTAATTGCCTCTTGAATCATCATCCAGTCAATAATAAAACATCCTACTTTATATAGTGGTTACCAGTTTGATTCAAAATGTACGTTTCGTACTATATGAGAATCTTCTGCTGAATACGAGAAATGTTGTTCTTCTATAACCTATGCAACAATATAGGCTAATCAGTTTACTCTACTCAAAGATAGGAAATTACAATGGAATAATATATTTCTAAAATAGCTGACTTTAATTTCGGATATTATTATTAGGATGGTTATCATTACAAGGTTACATCATTTGGATAACCATTTGAGACCTGATACCACTGAAGATGCGTAACACATCAGCACCAAGCACTCAAGACGCCTTTGGGTTTCCAATGAACGCTTAAACCTTCAATATCATTATCAGCATTGTTGTAAAGTCCATCACCAGACTAACGCAAGTACCAATAATATGTTAGTTAGCCTGATGTTTACAGTGATTTATTTTATTTCAAGAGGAAGAGGACAAAATGGCTGTTCAGTGGTCACAGGTTTCAATGGGTTCTTTTCCGAAACATGAAAATCCGAAGTCTTACACATTTTCGTTTGAACTTTTAAACTACTAGCAAATTGTAAGTAGTTAGTTGATCGGGAATAACCCGGGTGGCATCCATGTGTTTCGGTGGCAAGCAATTTCATGTAGCTCAATGATGCCTTTGAAGTGAAGACAGGAGTAAAACAAGACTGTCCACTACCATCCATGATATTCCTGATTGTAGTCGACTAGATCATGCAGCAAACTGTGGGGAGTGAGAAGAGGGGGATACGCTGGACAAAGGAAAAGATCCTAGAAGATTTGGATTTCGCCAACGATGACTTGTGTCTAATGTCACACAAACTTGAAGATCTACAGGCGAAAACTAACAAGTTGACAGAAGAGGTTAGGTAGCGAATACGGGACTCTCTTCAAGTGAAGGTAGGGAAGACACAGGTGATTAAGACACACAACCAACACCACCACCAACAACAACAACAAGCTCCAATCATCATCAACGGGAGAAACTGAAAGGAAGTAGCTTCTTTCACCTACCCACGTAGGCAACACTGTTTCAACTACAGGCAGCAGCACAGATAAGGGCATCAAATGCAGGATCGAAGAAGCAAGACAGCCGTTCATTAGCCTGAAACCAGTGTGAAGATCTTCTGCACTCAGCATGAAGCTTCAACAACATCCGGATTTTCATCACCAACGTCAAGTCAATACCTCTGTATACCTCAGAGACTTGGCGCGTTTCGAAAGGCATTTCCAACAAACTACAGACATTCATCACCAGCTACCGCCTACGCTCACTCGTTGCAGAAGATCAGATGGCCAGAAAGAATAAGGAACAAGGAAGTCTGGACTGGGAACGAACCAGCCAAGAACCTATCACTCAACAAATATGCACTGGAAGGAAGCGGAGATGGATTCGGCATACAGTGAAAAGGCTGACTGGGGACATCATGCGCCAGGTCAGTGTCTCGAGTGGAACCCAGATGGTAAACGATGATTTGGGCGTCCGAGGCGAGGGTGACATTGGGGAGATGGTGTAAGGAAGAAATGAGAGCTTGTGGGCTGTCGTGGAGTCAGGTTCAAAAGATTGCCGAGAACAGAGTGTAATGTAGGCGTGCTACTGGAGCTCTATGTTCTGTTAGGAACTCAAGGGATAAATAATAATAAATAATCATAATTTCATTTAGAACGCAAATCTGAATCGGACGGAGGTGGGTTGCTTTTCATGGTAGTCCCAATCTCCCTCAGTACCACTCGTCATCTCTAGTTCATAAACCAAGATACAGGACTTCATAGTGTCTGAATCACATCAAGCAAAACCCTAAATTGCCCACCTTTGGTTTTTGAACCATGTGCGAACCTTCTTCAGGGGGATCCAGTGTAGTTTTCATCATCTGTTTACTTCATAGTGGCCTTCTCAAGATAATATCTTGCTTATTCTATCACTATGTTATCGTTAGGCTTTAGTCGTTTATCCTTTCTAGTAATATCTACCAGTGGCATTTGTCATTATGCTGCAGTTGATTTCCACTACATATTGCTGTCCTCTTGTAGAGAAAAGAACTTGGCACCATTAATCCTTGTAAACTTCATTCACCTGATAGCTTAGAAATAACCATCTTAACTTTTCAACAGTAAGCAGCTAGCTAGGGAGACGTGAATAAGATGAAAAGAATACAGTGAACTTGCCAATCTGTCGATGTCGAACGCTGCCACTCCACCTCTGAAATGAATTCAGAGCTGCAGTTTTCATTTCTAGCGATCGTGTGTATTTTAAATCCGACTGGATAACGTAACATAGTCACTGAAGTAGAGATTATCCATTCAACTCACATTTCATGCTAAGCATTGATTTAAAGTACTTTTATCGATCGAAAAAGATAAAATTGATTATGACTAATCGATATACTCAACTATTTATAGGTATGAGTAATCGATAAACACTGACTCATGAGAGAGAGGTAAATAGATGGACAGACAGATAGACAACCAGGCAGGCAGGCAGGTATGAGTAATCGATAAACACTGACTCATGAGTTCACTTGATAAGTTAGTCCGCATATAAACAAACACAGTTAGAGGGGGAGAGAGAGGTAAATCGATGGATAGACAGATAGACAACCAGGCAGGCAGGCAGGTGGGTAGGCAGATAAAGCATGAAATATTATACTCACTTCAATATCTTTTTCCAGTTCATTTTGATTATCTTTTACTAATCGTTTCGCTTTTTCCAGTCTTTCTGAAGCTCTGTTTAATCGTTCATTTTGTTTCTCAATCTCTGTTAATTTCTGTTCAACTTCAAGTTCTAATTTTCTAGTTTGTTCTTTGTACACTTTAATATCATTGTCTAATCGGATTGAAGATTCTTCCATTGTCTAAAAATAGAAAAGGGGATAAAGTAATTAACTCCTCAAGGTACAATATATTGACCTTGCGATTGGATAACAAATGATGAGTACACTTTGCTACAGTTCACTTGATCCTGTGGGGTGGTGGGTGTGAAAAGGTTACTTGGGATGAAGTTGTGAACCTTCATTGACAGAGGTGAATTTGGGAACTAGTTGCGTGTATGCAGCCACCACCTACTTTGTCATTCATTGTTAACTAGAGTTGAATTAGGTGAGAAAATGGTTCATTGTGGACACAGCAAGAAGTCGTAATAGTCTATGAAGGAACTGACTGTTTATACAAGCTGTTTAGAGAGGTGTAAACTATTGTATCGTCACACACTTCCCCAAAATCAATAGCCCAGGGTTTGACGACTTTCGACATTGATGCTGACCTTGATAGTTTAACTGGACTCGCTAAGCTGAAGGCACCCGGTCAAGCATCCTCGCCATTTGGCACGCTGTCGTGTTACGTTGCATTGCTCGTATTCGACTCTCTAGCCAGTTAGTTGGAACGCATCGGTATTTTGGCACAACCATCCAAATATACTATTCCATCCGACTACGCTATCGTGTTCTTCCTTGGTCTCGTATTCGTGGGTGTATAACAAGTCCGAATAATCAGTGATTGGTCTTTGCGTCTGTCGAGTTCGCACCAGGACAAATCCTAAACTATCTTGCTATGGTCCAAAAAACCATAGAAATCAATAGTTACAGACTCTTGTTGACATGGTTAAAATATTAATCATCTGATATCTGCTAAAAGGTTGAAAATTTACACTAACCTTGATTTCCAAGGTTATTGATTTTCATGGAATTAGCCAATCAGGTGTTTAGACGTGTAGTCATATGATTTCGGGAAATTTTTGAAGGCAATCTGATTAGCTCCTAATGTTTATTCACTGATTTCAATCAAATTTTAAGATTGCGCATTGTAGATTTCGCAAATCCTAACTTAAAGTGACAATTTATGTCACTGTTAAGCGCATACAAGTAGATCATAGTGAAAGAATAACCAGTTTTGAACTGGTTCAATTCTAGTTCACTGTATTAAACAATCGGGCATACAAACACAGAACTGTCCTCATCAACTGATCGTGACTGTCCTCCTGGAGAACCAAAAGAATTTAGACAATCTGCATATTTTAAACAATCAACATATTGAATGCTAATATTGTCACTGTGACATTTAATTTAAAATTCGAGGATGTATAACAACGAAATACGGTAGACATAATATTGTTTCAATACCAGACCAAGTCTGTACGACCTTAAACCCACGAATTACCAAATGACCTTGAACAGCCAATCAGAATCACAATGCGTTGAGCAATCACAACAGAGATGGCTAAAACGCTTTCACATGGAAACAGAAAGTTGTAGTACTTAGTGTCAGAACCTGGAAATAGTTTATTGTAATGAGAATTTAGCCTGATTAGTTTCTAACTATTCAGTCGACCCACCTCACCACCAACATCTTATGATCAACGCAAGTCTGATAGCTAGCAGCCTGATTGTAGTTGACACACGTTGATTTTGATTGGGTGTTGTTCAAGGTCGTTCAGTTAGACCAGCTGAACTTGTGTCTAATGAAGAGAATACTCGAAGAAGTGTGCACTATTCTCTCGTATTGATTTGTAACGTGTCATGGAACGATCTTTAACGAATCAATAAAATACTCGAAAAACGATTATCATTATTGATTTGTTAATGTTAAAATAAGCTTTGAAATTACAGGTTTAGCGAAGGGATTCAGAACATGGGTTTCGTCCTGTCTTGGCGTCATTAGCCAAAAGTAATAGTACTCTCTCCGGGACTCGAACTAGGCAACCAGCACGTCACAGTGTTATCTACCAGGCTTCTGAGAAATGGTAACTGATTACAAATTACATAACAACGGAATAATTTTATCATTCAGCGCAAACTTACACTGTATAATTCGTGTAATTCTTTCAAGCGTGTATTATCATAACGTGATTTAATGTTCAATACACGAATTTGTTCATTCAATTCCTTTTGTTGTTGTATTTCTTCAGCATTATCTGGTAGTTTTGAATGACTCATTCGATAGACTGTATTACAACCATTCATTAAGGCTAGTGTATTTTCAAGTGCAACAATTTCTTGTTCAAGTATACGTGTTTCATTATCCAATGTATCACCTTTACGCTGAAGTAATTCCTTGTCTTGTGCAGCCTATTTTAACAACAATAATAATAACAATAACAAGAAAGAAAATGTGATGTAGATGGCCTAGAAGATGAATTAATCCATCAAAGGGTGTTTCGTCCCATTAAGGACTCGACAAGTGAATGTAACTGTCTCCTATTGATTGTTGTTTCGTCACTTAAATGGGAAAAACAACTGAAGAGACATTTGCACTGGAAATTTATCCAGGTGAGCTATTCATACGCAGTCAATGAACATTTAGTGGGCTGTTCAAATTGAAAGGATGACATTTGCATGCAGTACAGCTTAGTTATCCGAGTAGTGTGTCAGCTGAGTATTTGGAAGCCAATGACTGCACGTCTGACCTACTCCTATCCATATAGCATTAATCGTCCCATAAATCAACATACCCTTATCCGTTTACGTGATAAACATTCCACATGTTTATCCAACCAGCCAGGAAGGGATAACTCCTCGCCTCCACCTCTCCCCTCCCTCCAATTAGTCGTAGACATTTGTACAGTTCAAGGGATAGAATGATCCGGGAGGGGGGATTTCCAACCAAAGATGAACTTCATTAGGTCAAACAGTGCCAAGATGTCTAAAAACACAGTGAAGAGACTCTTTGCATACAACATACTTCCAAGATATACAAAAAATATGAAAGGAATGCCTATGAAATCACCAATGTCCAAACTCATCGTAGAAACAGTGACTGCGGCAGAGACTGGAAGACCAAAAATGTGCATTCGCCATGTAGATGATGCTTTTGTCATCACTACAAGGAAGATGGCATAGAGGACACTCACAGTTTGATCTACAACGTTTTCAATGGCATCAAATTCACAATGCAAACGGAGTCGAACAACCAACTTTCATTCCTGGATGTGCTAGTCAGTGGGACAAATGCCAGAAAGCTGGAAACCCCCAATACACACTGATCAAATCCTCAATTACAATAACAATAACCGACAGAATTACTTGAATAAAGACTCTATTCACAAGAGCTAGAAAACACTGAGCAGAACACCAACTTCACGGAGAAATGAAGACGCCTATTCCGTACATCATCAACTACAAAGTCATCGACAGAAATCCACGAAACATATCCTACCGCACATAAAAAATGTATCTGAAATCACGAGAAGATTACTGAGATCACTTGGAATTGGTTTGCCGCCCCGTAACCCAACAAATTCCCTTCAAATACTGTTATGCAGACCAAAGGAAGCAACAACCGAAAAACACAAGCTGAGCGTCATTTACAAAATCAACTGGAATAACTGTAGTTAACACTATATTGGACAAAATAGTTGCCCTCTTCGCCTTATTTCACATGAGAGAACATCAATTGCCTAGTAAACATAACGACATATCATCGCTCACTACTCAGTCCACGTGAATAGCAATTATGAACAATGTAGAAGTCTTGGATGGAGAGAGGAAACACAAGGAGTATCAGGAAACTCGCGAAAGGTTGCTTAGTCGGTCAGTCAACAATCCACGGATGTAAAGACATAGACCCCGTCTTTCAACCAATGAGAAAAATGATAAGCGACAGAAAGATGAAAGGTGAAGCAGAGGAACAGCCAAAAGGAAAATCTATGTGGTCAGTCAACGACACAACAATTGGAGGAAGCAGCCAATCATAGACCAGTTGGTCAGGGCAAGCTATTAAGTGACTCACGGAGAGATATTGACGGCTAGCTGACTTCCTATTGAAGTTATTGTTGATGATGTCGTCTACAAAGATGATAAAATCTCCACAATTAAACTATCCAGCCCCTGAGATAACATAATAGAACTAAAATCATCCACCTGAGCTACACATGTTCTCCACCAATATACAAATGTGATTGGCTCATACTAAGTTCTATTTCCCTTCAGTGAAACTTGAATCATGAACTAAAGTCTCACTGACAACATAGACACATACGCAGATCCACGCCTAACTAAGACAAAACACATGTTCCAGTGCTCAACATCGATTCACTTTACTGGTTCACACAAAATGAATACTTGGATGATGGTAAAAGTCAACCATAGCAACCGTCAATATTACCAATCAAACCATACCGTTCCCACTAGAATGTGGCATTCTTCATCCAATGGAGAATCAGTAGTCTGACAGAGATGACAAAAGTGAGTTGTATTTAACTTGGGAGTTTATGTGCTTCGTTCTAGTGTGTGAGACTGTTCAGCAATGCCCACACACGACTAGCTTGGAGAGATGATTCGTGAAGTTGGGATGAGAAGTGGTGACCGGTGGGACAAACCTGTTGTATATGAGGACAAATACTCAACGATGACATTGGGTGGTGGTCGCAGTATATTGGATTGTGATGCAGTGTCCCAATGTTAACGTACTTGTCATGGGAGTGGAATGTTTTGGGATTGATCGTCGGTGGGATTGTTGGTCAGCATTTCTGAGGAATACCATGCTACGACGAAACCCAATACTCCTCCAAGTGTTAACAGTCCATAGTGAACAGCAAGTTGAAGGAGTGAGTTGACCTTCAAATCTGGATGGTTATGAATGATCGAGAGGACTATTGTGTCTGTGCAAATGAAGTTAACTATGGGATGACGATCCCACTGCAGCGGTTAGCAGTGCACTGAATCAAACTGGTCTCCTCGCGTAATACAGCCCCACAGAAGGTGAATCATGTGTTGAATATCTCAATGTTGGTGGCACTGATTACAATGTGTGGGTATGAATGTGTTATGTGCATCAGTCACTCCAATGGTTGCAGATATGTCCTACTGATGAGTGCGACCGAAGTGAGTTTCCTGACAATTACATTGAACCAGGCATCTACATCTACCAGTCAATAGATGGAAAATATCTGGAGTAAGTACACAAAAGTGTTAAATGGATGGTGGTGGTTGCCTGTCTGTGATTATCTCTCACTCTCACTCTCCCTCTGTCACTCTACTCAACAACGGAGAAGTAATCAAGTGTAGAATAATGAGAATCAATTGACTTACTCTAATTATGTAATAGGCTTGATTTCTTGTCTCCTCACCATCTGGAGGTGCCATGAGTGCAGTCAATATTTCATATCTGATGTCAATGAAATGAACAGTGAATCAAATGAGTATTGTTGTTGTTACGAAGCTACTTAGAGCAATCATTTTAAATCAGTTAGATGGGACACTGATCCAATGAAATTTCAAACAAACGATGCGTAAACAAGTGAGTAACTGAAATCGGTTCTCTGGTTTATGCCTATTGTAACTGTCAAGCGTTGAAGCAATTGACAGTGATTCAGCGATCAACTTCTCCATCTGTCTGCTGATCTCTCTTTCTTTCTTTCTGTCTGTCTGTCTGTCTATCTATCTATCTGTCTCTCTGTCTCTCTCTGTGTGTCTGACTACACCGGCTTTCAGGACTGTAACTTTGTCCCACCCAATCGATTACCTGAGTATCATGACATGCATAGTGATGACTTAATTCTTCTCTGGAATACTCGTCTCAGTGGGATATATGAATCTAGGTTAAACGAGGTTCCTGTATATCATCAAGCTGACTGACTCTGATCAGCTGGGTGAAGCAGAAGGTACTGAGTGGGGTCAGTCGTGAAGACATTCGGTTGAGGTGTCTAATGAGTCTCAGTATCATTATACCCACGCACACAACCCTACCACTCGGTCACAACAGACTTCCTTATAATTATGTCCTTTTTTATCCACTGAATCTGATTGATTATTTCGCCAGTGTTTTATATGATCCATACTCACCGAATTCATGTGAGATAGGATGTTTCATGACATCAGTTGCAGAGAGGTCGAAAGTCCAGGAGAATCTGACAGCTGTATCGCCCTAATACGTAGCATCTTAGTTATACACACCCTTGATGCTAACAGTGGTCGAACCAACCATCGTTAAGTTTCATAGTGACTAAGTTACCAATGAGCTATTAGACTACCCACTTTTCAATAAAAACTTACCGTTTAATCAACTTGTCAATTTTTGATTTACGCTCTTGAATTTCAATGTTCAATTGACTATTTTCTGTTTCATTAATTTTTATTTGTTTATTTAACATTGTTTGATGTAGATTAATTTGTTCTGTACGTTGTTTAATTGTTGCATTTAACTCTTCATGAATTTTTTGCAAATCATAACTCTATAAAGAAAAAGTTTATTGAATGATGATAAAATTGTGATAATAGACAGGCCAATAATTAAGTGAGATACTACTCTTCATGAGCTGTTGATCCGCAAATGTTGGAGAATTGAGATCGCTGCTAACTAACCTCTAGTATTCACTTGTTCTCCATGAAATCATAGTGAAGAGATATAGTAATGATGAACAGTGGAATAATCCACAAAGCTCACTTCGTCCTATTTGGGACTCGTCAGCTGGACTTACCTGCCTCCAAATGCGGAGTGATGTTGTCGCCACTGGGACTTAGGAGCGATCACTTCAAACGCCAGAGCATTACCCACTACATCACCGAGCCACGATAGCCACCTCTTGCGCTACCGGCACAGCTCTAGTGTTATTGCTTGTATTATACCCTCGTCGTCTGGACCGAATTATTCAGTCTCTGTTGGTATATGAGCTCCTGTGTGGATGTTTCAATATTGACTGTGTTCTAGTTATAGGAAAGATGGATAGCGGCTAGCAGGGGAATCGACAAGGCCTATTTCGACCTATTCGACAGCTAGCCACATTCTTACAAATACGCTGAAATGGTGTTTATAGTAATAATATTGTTGCTAGTTAGTAAAGTAAACGTTGAATGTTAACAAAAGGAGGGTTATGCAAGATATTTAAACCGTTTATAAGGTGCACAAAGATCAAAAAGTGAATGAGAATGATCAAAGATGATCCAGTAATATGAATGATTATCATTTGACTATCTAAGACAGTCGTAGTCTGACAGACTAGTATTTACACCGGGTAATGATTGAAGGTGAGATGAAGATGCACAACATGACCGGACCCCAACCAGCTACCATTAGGTTACCGGCACGTTGCTCTACCACTTGGTGACTGAAGTGAAATAAAATAGATCTAGTCAAGAGTCGGATCTCGTAGCTGAGTTGATATATAATCTGGCGGGTAACTTCGTGGTCGCGAGTTCGAATCCGTCCACCGTCCACACATTCATCTCACCTTCAATCAACCAGTATAATATGAATGAATGGCATATGGGCTCCTGTGTGGATGCTTCGATATTGACTGTGTTCTAGATATAGTAAAGATGGATAGTGGCTAGCAGGGGAATCGACGATGCTCATTTCGACCTATTCGACAGCTAGCCACATTCTAACAAATACGCAGAAATGGTGCTTATAGTAGCAATATTCTTGCTAGTTGATAAAGTAAACGTTGAATGAAAACAAAAGGAGGGTTACTCAAGACACGTAAATCGTTTATAAGGTGCACAAAGATCGAAAAGTGAATGAGAATGACCAAAGATGATCCAGCAATATGAATGATTATCCTTGACTATCGAAGATGTGGACCGTGACCAGAACCGAACCAGCAACCACTAGGTTACTGGCACGTTGATCTACCACTCCGTGATTGAAGTGAAATGAAATATATCTAGTCAACAGTCGGACCTCGTAGCTAAGTTGATATATCATCCGACCGGTAACTTGGTGGTCACCCGTTCGAAGCCGTCCACCGTCCACACATTCATCTCATCTCTTAACATCCAGTATAATATGAATCATTGTACAAGTTAATTGAAGTAAATTGAAAATGTTTTCTTCAAAGTTGTGATTATTAAGAAGATCAAATGATCAAATAACACCGGAAACAAATAAATACAAAAAACACCGTGATAATGACGATGATGATAATGAGTATAGAGATTAATCTAAGGAGAAAAGGGAAGAGGGGGTGGAAAACGAGAAAAGAGGACGAAATACACAAAGACTAAAATAAATTCACTTCATGGGTAGAGACAAACACTTCACATACTTCTTCTGCACACAAAGGTCAAGTAGGCTTCACTTCATGGATAGCCAAGAACTCTGGTATTTTTAATAAGTTGAACAAGGAGGAAACGTGAAGTGTTTCAACGAATTCCATACATAAATCTTAAAATCATTTTTGAGATGAATAGGGATTTTTAATTTACAAGTAGTATTCATCATGAACTGATATCAGTTGAGAAATCTTTGAAAATCTCGGAGCACTAAACACCTGATTCGTCCAACTCGTATGCGACTCCTCAGTAATACACACTCACGACCTGACTAGTGGTGGAACTCACAACCTTGAAGTTTCACAGCGAATGCGTTAACCATCATCTTCATCATCATTATCAACATAGGACCAGGCATTATTGCGTAACGGTCCGAGTTGCCACTCCTCACGTCAGTTCATCAAGTAAAAAGGTAGTGAGGTGAAGGATGAAGATAAGTGAATGCAGTCAAAAGAAATATAAAGTACGAGAAGAAAGGAAAGAGGAGTGACAAAATGGTGAGATTCGGTATAGCGTTGTTAAGATGAAGATAATGTGTGTGGCGATACATCTGCGCCACTGACATCCGTTCTGAGCCATATCACCTAGGGTCTCCAACAAGCACTGGTTCCTCTTGTCCCGTGGACCCCAACCACCTAGTCTGCATCGTCCTACATGGCTTAAATCAACAGTCAGAGACTTCATACGTTGGTGCCATGTTTTAGTCTGGCCACCTCGAGCCTTTTTCCAGCCTGGACCCACCTCAGCCAACATTGTGTGACGAGGTAATCGGTGACTAGGCATACGTAGTACGTGTCCCAACCATCTCAGTCGATGAAGGTTCACAACCTCGTCAACTGACTTACCTCTTCTCCCCAAAACTCTACACCTGACTTCTGCATTACTCACGTGGTGTGGTGACACCACGGAATACGTCCTATACTACGAAGGCAACGGCGATCAAACACCTCAAGCCTCTTTGTATCCTCCACTTTCAATGGCCATGTTTCACAGCCATAGAGTAAAAGAGAGTGGACTGCTGTGCAGTACACGTGACCCTTAATAGACAAACGAATATCACGGCGGCGCCATAGGTGGCACAAATTGGCAAAAGTCGATTGGGCCTTTTGTATCCGTGCAGAAATCTCATCGGCAACTGACCAACGCACCAGGGTTGATCCTACTTCCCAGGTAAGTGAAGTGGTCAACACACTCAACCACTTCACTCTCTATTGTTAACCGCGGCACCATTGAAGACCAATCCTGGAGCAACAATTTGCATTTGGGTGCTGAGAAACCCATCCCAAACATTCTCAAATTCCCACTCAAAGTGTTCAGGAAACTCTGCATCTCATCAATCAGCGTCTTCACCTAACAGGACTAACTATGTCATCTGCATATTCTAGATGTAAAGAAAATTCACCTGTGATTGGGTCAACTTCTGTGTAATTAGGTGACGAGAGGGAAACCTCCATAAGAATATCTATGATAAAATTAAATAGGAATGCGTTAACTATTCACCCACTGGGTCAGTCAGTTTCCAGTGGTTCATAATTGCCAACTTCTTTCAATTCACAACATAGCCTGACTATCAACCAAGATCTTGAGTAACAGCTCCCATTTCACTTCTGACTGGTTGACCCCATAGGTCACGGGATGTCCAATACTAGTTGGACGAAACAGGTGTCCAGTGCTCCCAGATTTTCAATGGTTTCCCAAATGATGTCAATCCACGATGAATACTGCTTCTAAACTTAAAAGCATTGTCAGCAATCGGTTAAATGGTTTGAATTGACTTATTGTTGAAGGATAGGACCTCCAGTGCATTTCTTTTCACCGTTATAATGCCAGGCAGGCATATATGTTCTCGTATATATGTTAACAGTAATCTCTGACTACGGACGATTTATCTTGTTTCACAGGAACACATGAACTAGCAGAGATATACATGGATACATGCAAAACCTTCAAACAATATCTTACCTTATCTGAATATTGTTGAAATATTTTTGTTAGTCGTTTAACTTCTAATTTTTTAAGATTTTTATCAACAAGAAGTTTTTGTAAATTAATTGAATGTTGTTGTTTCTCTTTCAACATAATATCCATTTCTAATTCATTTGTATTGAGTTGATTTTCAAGTGTTACATTCTTATTCAATAAACTTTCATGTTCACGTTTTACACGATGAACATCTCTCTGAAAGTAACAGTAATATATATATATATAACAATAATAAATCAACCAATCATCATTTAGTTTTAATCAACCAATAAGATTACAGTCATAAAATCAATATATATATAAACTTGCGTAGGAGTAAATAAGAAGCAGTTAAACTAGCCAATCATAAATCTAAGTAAGGTTAAAGCCTAAAAGCTATTGGTTCTACACTCAAGTCGAAATATGACGAAATGCTTATAAACAAAAAAGTTCAACTATCAACTGTTGCTTAGATTTGTGGTAAGATAAACGTACACAATCCACGCTATTGCTTACATTGTTATGAAATATCTAACTAAAGTAACTGAAGTGTCACAAATCCATTACTATTGTTATTATTATTCATCCCTTGGGTTCGTAATGGAATAAAGAGCTTCAGCAGAACGTCTCCATTCCATTCTCTTCTCTGTAATCTTTTGAATGTGACTCCACGACTGCTCACAAGCTCTCATTTCTTCCTCATATGATCTTCTACATGTCACCTTCTACTCAGACACCCAACTCCCACTTTCCTATCTCCGTTCCATTCAAGTGCCTGGCGCATGATGTCCTCAATCGGCTTTCTCAGTGTATGCTCGATTCAATCCATCTCCACTTCCCCACACTGCATATTTGTTAGGCGATAGATTGGTCGTTCGTTGATTGGTTGCCAGATAGAGGGAGTTCCTCCTTGCTTCTTCTTATTATTCTGACAATCCATCTGATCTTCAGTAACCAGCCAGCCTAGACAGCAGTTGTTGATGAATACCTGAAATTTGTTGGAAATGCTTTCCGTGACACGCCAAGTCTCTGAGCCATACAGAAGCACTGACTTGAATGAATTGGTGTTGTAAATCCGGAAGTTCTCCACACTGGTTTCAGGTTAATGAATGCCTGTCTTGCTTTTCATATCCTGCCTTGACGTCCTCGTCTGTGCCGCTGCCTGTAGTTGAAACAGTTCTGCCTAAATAGGTGAAAGAGGCTAACAAATCCATAATGAACTACAATTCATAATTAATTACAATAGTCAGCCAAGAATATTCTTTCAGAATTGTGAAGATGAAGTTATTAAAATTATGAAATGTGAAGCAGATTATTCTTAGGTAAATAGTTTGATTTTCGATGAGTCTTCAGTCACTCACAATAAGCGATTACGTAGGGATAAGAAAACAAATGAATATTGGTAGGAACAAGAAGAGGAAGATGTATACAAAGTTATCCTACAAGTTACATCATGTTGACGGCCACAGTCATGAAAGTGGTCAAAAAAACGCCTTTCGAATACATAGGTTAGGTTTGTTTGTAGAGGTGGATTGTAATTGTGTCTCCCATGTGAAGTAACCGAGTACGTAATCCATGTGGTGAATAAATTGGAACATGATGAATGATTCCGAAAGCTTTTCTACTATCCACTTGATGTCCCGTGTCAACTAAGTGTGAAGGTGTGGAGCTGTTTATTGTTCTAATTTATCCCTTGCTCAACCATGATGCGTGGTGCTCAGAAATTCAATGATGGAATTGCTTCATTGTGCGCCTAACGTAACTAGCTCCACACAAAAACAGTTGAATTGATAAATGCACATAGAAGTGACAGAATCAGGCAGTTTGTCTTTATTTCTTCCACCTAGAATCGTACGCTTGTAGAAGATGGGACATAATTTAGCGGCTGGGAAGGTGTTATGCAAGACATTTCCTATGCGCTATGTGATGATCTCACTGAGCATGTCCCTCTTCAATTTCAGGTTCAAGAAAATTAGCTTCTTATGAATTGTTGGCGTGTTGTCTGCATAGCTATTCCTACTAAGCAGATCACGGATGATGGCGAACTCCTCCTTTATGGCATCAACTGAGCAAATAGCTGAGGCACAATATGCTAAGCATTGCACCAGGTTTCTTTCGTATGGGAGGGGTACAACAGTGAAGAAGTGCGTTTATTGACCTGTTGACGTTGGCTTACTATATTAGCTTCCTTTCAGGGTTCCATTTAACCTTCTTATCAACAGAACATCATGAAATGGGATACTGTAACTTTTCTCATCTTCCATTGTGAAGTTGATTGCCGGATGAGCACTACTGAAACCATTAAGAGCAGCATTTTTATCCGTTTCACTTTTGAGAACTATAAAGGTATCATCCATGCCACCTATGGCGCCGCCGTGATATTCGTTTGTCTATTAAGGGTCACGTGTACTGCACAGCAGTCCACTCTCTTTTACTCTATGGCTGTGAAACATGGCCATTGAAAGTGGAGGATACAAAGAGGCTTGAGGTGTTTGATCGCCGTTGCCTTCGTAGTATAGGACGTATTCCGTGGTGTCACCACACCACGTGAGTAATGCAGAAGTCAGGTGTAGAGTTTTGGGGAGAAGAGGTAAGTCAGTTGACGAGGTTGTGAACCTTCATCGACTGAGATGGTTGGGACACGTACTACGTATGCCTAGTCACCGATTACCTCGTCACACAATGTTGGCTGAGGTGGGTCCAGGCTGGAAAAAGGCTCGAGGTGGCCAGACTAAAACATGGCACCAACGTATGAAGTCTCTGACTGTTGATTTAAGCCATGTAGGACGATGCAGACTAGGTGGTTGGGGTCCACGGGACAAGAGGAACCAGTGCTTGTTGGAGACCCTAGGTGATATGGCTCAGAACGGATGTCAGTGGCGCAGATGTATCGCCACACACATTATCTTCATCTTAACAACGCTATACCGAATCTCACCATTTTGTCACTCCTCTTTCCTTTCTTCTCGTACTTTATATTTCTTTTGACTGCATTCACTTATCTTCATCCTTCACCTCACTACCTTTTTACTTGATGAACTGACGTGAGGAGTGGCAACTCGGACCGTTACGCAATAATGCCTGGTCCTATGTTGATAATGATGATGAAGATGATGGTTAACGCATTCGCTGTGAAACTTCAAGGTTGTGAGTTCCACCACTAGTCAGGTCGTGAGTGTGTATTACTGAGGAGTCGCATACGAGTTGGACGAATCAGGTGTTTAGTGCTCCGAGATTTTCAAAGATTTCTCAACTGATATCAGTTCATGATGAATACTACTTGTAAATTAAAAATCCCTATTCATCTCAAAAATGATTTTAAGATTTATGTATGGAATTCGTTGAAACACTTCACGTTTCCTCCTTGTTCAACTTATTAAAAATACCAGAGTTCTTGGCTATCCATGAAGTGAAGCCTACTTGACCTTTGTGTGCAGAAGAAGTATGTGAAGTGTTTGTCTCTACCCATGAAGTGAATTTATTTTAGTCTTTGTGTATTTCGTCCTCTTTTCTCGTTTTCCACCCCCTCTTCCCTTTTCTCCTTAGATTAATCTCTATACTCATTATCATCATCGTCATTATCACTGTGTTTTTTGTATTTATTTGTTTCCGGTTTTATTTGATCATTTGATCTCCTTAATAATCACAACTTTGAAGAAAACATTTTCAATTTACTTCAATTAACTTGTACAATGATTCATATTATACTGGATGTTAGGAGATGAGATGAATGTGTGGACGGTGGACGGCTTCGAACGGGTGGCCACCAAGTTACCGGCCAGATGATATATCAACTCAGCTACGAGATCCGACTGTTGACTAGATATATTTCATTTCACTTCAATCACGGAGTGGTAGATCAACGTGCCAGTAACCTAGTGGTTGCTGGTTCGGTTCTGGTCACGGTCCACATCTTCGATAGTCAAGGATAATCATTCATATTGCTGGATCATCTTTGAGCATTCTCATTCACTTTTCGATCTGTGTGCAGCTTATAAACGATTTAAGTGTCTTGAGTAACCCTCCTTTTGTTTTCATTCAACGTTTACTTTATCAACTAGCAAGAATATTGCTACTATAAGCACCATTTCTGCGTATTTGTAAGAATGTGGCTAGCTGTCGAATAGGTCGAAATGAGCATCGTCGATTCCCCTGCTAGCCACTATCCATCTTTACTATATCTAGAACACAGTCAATATCGAAGCATCCACACAGGAGCCCATATGCCATTCATTCATATTATACTGGTTGATTGAAGGTGAGATGAATGTGTGGACGGTGGACGGATTCGAACTCGCGACCACGAATTTACCCGCCAGATTATATATCAACTTATCTACGAGGTCCGACTGCTGACTAGATCTATTTTTATCTCACTTCAATCGCCAAGTGGTAGAGCAATGTGCCGGTAACCTAGTTGTTGCTGGTTGGGGTCCGGTCTCGGTCCACATCTTCATCTTCATCAATAGGATACATTTCCAATGAGTTATTCATTAGATAAATGAATCAATTACCACTTAATCATACATTATATGGATTTAATGTATGGATTATTAAGCCTGTCAATCAATGATAATTAAGAATCTATGAAATATGAATAAACAGTATCCAACTGAAAAACTTTGAGAAGAAAAGGAAAATCATATTCACTTACACCTAAATTTCCAAGTTGATTTGTTAATAAGGTGATAGTATTATTTTGTTCATTTAAATGTTTTGTTAATTCATCAATTTTTCCTTGTTTTTTCTCTTGTTCCTGTAAATTTTGTTCACCTTGCATTCTATTAATACGACGTTCCAAATTTTGTATATTGAAATCCTTATTGTAATTTATAAGCAAATGAAATAAATCAATATATTGGATAATATTCTATGAAATATACGTAATCAGGAATAATAAAGGGTTACAATGAGAAAAGAAAATAATCGATTTTGTTAAGTATATCCCTTGGCTTCCTAGTGGAACATACAAATTTTGGTAGTACGACAGCCCACATGCTCTCATTTCTTCCTCATATGATCTCCTACATGTCACCTTCTCATCAGACACCCAACTCCAACTTTCCTATCTCGGTTCCATTCAAGTGCCTAGCGCAGGATGTCCTCAGTCGGCTTTCTCAGTGTATGCTCGATTCAATTCATCTCCACTTCCCCACACTGCATATTTGTTAGGCGATAGATTGTTAGTTCGTTGATTGGTTGCCAGACAGAGGGAGTTCCTCCTTGCTTATTCTTATTATTCTGGCAATCCATCTGATCTTCAGTAACAAGCCAGTGTAGGCGACAGTTGTTGATGAGTATCTATAGTTTGTTGGAAATGCTTTTCGTGACACGCCAAGTCTCTGAGTCATACAGAAGCACTGACTTGAATGAATTGGTGTTGTAAATCAGGATGTTGTTCCACATGCTGAGTGTAGAAGTTCTCTATACTGATTTCAGGTTAATGAATGCCTGTCTTGCTTTTCCGTTCCTGGGTTTTGACATCCTTGTCTGTGTCGACTGTAACTGAAACGACTCTGCCTCCTAGGTAGGTAGATGAAAGGGACTACTTCCTTTAGATTTCTCCCGTTAATAATGTTTGGTGCCTCATGTTGTTGATGCTGTTGTTGGTTAGGTATCATCATTAACTCTGTCTTGTGTACATTCACTTGAATTTCCGTCTTCGCTGTGTCTTCTGTCAACTTGTTAATTTTTCGTTGTTGGTCTTTGTGTTTATGCGACAATAGACATAAATTATCATCAGTGAAATCCAAATCGTCTGAGCTGTTTTCATCGGTCCAGCGCATGCACTATGGTCGACTATAATTCCATTTCGTGGTGTTTATTAGAACTGCCACACAATGAAGGGAAAGTATCGTTTACTGAATAACGTACTTTTCGCATACAATTTATTATCCATGTTCATATCACCGGGTAACTCCACAACTTCAAGATATAGTCCTTATTGTTTCTCTCCTTTGTGATGATAAGGGTAGTAGAATATTCCATATATCTTGGACAGGTGCAGAATCATTTCGATTCCCACATGTATACGGTGTTGATTCGATAAACAAAAATTCAGTCGGTTATCAATGTCTCTCTCCCTCCATCCAGCTGAGTTAGTTTTCAACATTGTCACTTTATCCCACACCCTACTGGGTGTTTGTGTGTCATCGCATGCAGAGCTATGCCCAGGCTAGCTTTTCTCTAGATTTCTTATCTTATTAAAATCTATTAATCTTTGCTCTGTTATTCTAATCAAACATGTTCGATTGCTTTGACCTATATAGTGAACTTCACAAGCATTGTTACTTAGACTTCGAGTCCTCTCACCCCATTTCAGTTACAGTAGGTCTAGTTAAATGGTCAAGTGGATAGAACGTAAACGTTTGCCAGTAGATCAGAAAACCTGCGACAAAATATTAGGCACATTAAGAATACTTTACATCTCAGTAATTACCGACCTAAATTTATCAATGAATTGATAAAAGATAGAAAGAAAAGTACTAGCAGTGGTAGTAGTAGTGGTAGTGTTAGTAGTAGTATGGGTGGTGTGTTTGGTTTAGTTTAGTAGTAGTAGTAGAGAGTAGTAGTAGTAGTAGTAGTAGTAGTAGTAGTAGTAGTAGTAGTAGTAGTAGTAGTAGTAGTAGTAGTAGTAGTAGTAGTAGTAGTAGTAGTAGTAGTAGTAGTAGTAGTAGTAGTAGTAGTAGTAGTAGTAGTAGTAGTAGTAGTAGTAGTAATACAGGTGTTATCAATAACAATCCCACTACTAGTGGTATTAATAGTGACAGAGTTAACAGAGAATTCAAAGCCTCTGTTGTGTTACCATACAAGGAAGGCAGGCACCTCAGAAGCATTACTTAGAATTCTCAATAATACTGGCTGGGATTAAGGTGGTTAGCATTTAAACCAACAGACTAAAATGGAATTACAATCGACCACAGTGCCCAAACTTTTGAACCTGGCTCCACGACTGCCCACAACCTCTCATTTCTTCCTCATATGATCTTCTGTATATCACCGTCGCCTTGGATGCCCACTAGATGGCTTGTTGTGGCCCGTGATGTCCCTGAATAGTCTCTTCAGTGTATGATCAATCCATCTACACTTCCTTCTGCATATTTGTTGGGCGGTAGGTTCTTGCTTAGTTCATTGTCACAGTTCCTTGTTGGTTATTCTTTCTGGCCATCTGAGCTTCTGCAACGTGCATAAGTGTCAGTTGTTAATGAATATCTGTAGTTCATTGGAAATGCTTTTCGTAACGCTCCAAGGTGATCATTATAATCACAAAACCGAAACTTGATCAGTTTAGAAAAGAAGACATTTTATGATATGATGATGCAATGATAAACTGAATTATGAGTAGAAAGAATATCTTAGTGATTTTTGTCAACAGAGGAGATTAATGAAAAGAAAGAGGAGTACATAGTGGAGATTTCAAGGACTGAGAACTAAGACCATGATAGGAGATAGGGTCGAACAAACTTCTTTTTGTGTACACACTTCAAGTTTCTACTCATATGGATGGTAAAAGCTTCAGTGACCCAGAGAATATCAATTTTATGGATGATCATAAAGGTCACCACCAGTTTATGTAAAAAACACTTGAATATTACCATGGTAATTGGTAATGTGGACCACTGTCAGATTCAAACCAGCAACCACCGGATTTCCGGCCTAATGCTCTACCAACTGAGTTACTAAGTCCTACTACTGACTAGATATTTTTATTTCGCATTAATCACTAAGTGGGGATTTGCCCAACTACCATATGAATTCATGATGTGTTATTATTATTATTATTATTGTTATAGCTTGATTGAACCTCGCCTGGTTAACTAGTTTACTAGTTACTAGCCGGTCCTAAGCCCGGGTAAAGAGGGAAGGTTGGGCATAGGGCTAGCAACCCTACCCCGTAAAACAAATCTAACCGCTAAAGAAACTTCAAAGCACAAACAAAATATAAAAAATGAAAACAAACTTATTCCCCGCTGGAATCGGAGAGGCGAAATGACGCCAGTTGGTGAAAGCCTTCGGGAAGCCAATTGGCCGATGTGTCTTCTCTCGATGAAAGCAAAAGTAAACGTGGGGACATGGAATGTCCGCACCATGTTTGAACCCAGTAAGGCAGCCCAGATTGCAAAGGAGATGAGAAGGTATAACATCGAAGTGCTTGGGATTTGCGAAAGCAGATGGAATGGGAGTGGACTCTCCAAACTGTCAACTGGAGAATCAATAATCTACTCCGGTCACCCAGACGACAACCACGAGCACACTGAGGGAGTGGCTATCATGATGTCCTCAAGAGCATCGAAGGCTCTCATGCAGGGGGAACCAATCTCCTCCAGGATCATGACAGCAAGATTCAACTCAAAAGGAAGGAAGGTCACAATCATACAATGTTATGCACCTACAAATAATGCAGAGCAAGAGAAAAAGGAGGATTTCTACAGACAACTTCAATCAACACTGGACAAGACGTCAGTTGGCGATATCAAAATTCTAATGAGCGGAGTGACATGAATGCCAAGCTGGGAGGGGACAACACGGGAAGTGAACGAACCATGGGTCGAGAGGCGCTAGGCGAAATGAATGAGAATGGAGAATTGTTTGCAGAATTCTGCGCATTCAACAATTTGGTGATTGGAGGCAGTGTGTTCAAGCACAAAGATATCCACAAAGCGACATGGATTTCACCAGATGGACACACTAAAAATCAAATCGACTTTATCTCTGGGAACGAACCAACCAAGAACCTATCACGCAACAAATATGCAGGAAGAAGTGGAGATGGATTGGCCATGCACTGAGAAGGCCGACTGAGGACATCACGCGCCAGGCCCTCGAGTGGAATCCCCATGGGAAGCGACGAGTTGGACGTCCAAGGGTGACATGGAGGAGGTCGTGCGAGGAGGAAATGAGAGCTTCTGGGCTGTCGTGGGACCAGGTTCAAAAGATCTCAGAGAACAGAGGTCACTGGAGGCGTGCTACTGAAGCCCTATGTTCCACTAGGAACCCAAGGGACTAATAATAATATATAATAATAGCTTGATTGTATTCACATTAATTGCCCACCAGTAGAAACTTCTCATCCCAATCCAAATGTAATTGAATTAGAATGAGATGGGGAGCATATCATATTGACTATCATTTGACTATCGAAGATGGAAGCCAATGGGTGATGATTGAAGGTGAAATGAAACTTTGGATAGTATTCGAACCTCGTAGCTCAGTTGGTACAGCATCGAGTGGAAAACCTTATGGTTGCTTGTTTGAATTCAGACGTGGTTGAAGTTTTCATCTCACCTTCAGTCATCACCCAGTTTCAATATTAGCCTGCCAATTAATATGCCCGTAAAACTTGGGCACTGTAGCATAATGAACAAAGATTCAGTTTCCAATCTGCCCCTATCTCCACCTAATTATACTGGACATAATGGGTGCAGTGGTTTTATCCCACCCACCCTATTATGTGGTGGTCATGTGTTGTAATAAATGTATTGTAATAGCTGAATGTTTTTCTATTCGGGATGTCATTTTTTTATGTTGCTGACTTCCTATGTTGGGCTATTCTAGCTAACCCTGACCGGCTAATTTGACCTATGTACTTGACCTGACTCACAGTTATTACATAGAATGTGATAGGTAAGATTATTTTGCTTAATTGGTTCCATATGATCGTTAGGCTGACAAGGCTTATCTCTGAGTGAGTTTGTAGGTGTAAATACCCCCCCCCCGCCTTAGTGAAGCCTTGGTGAGGATCCTTTATAAACTTTCTGATATTCCTTCTGTATAGCATAACACAATGGAGGCTGTGAACTCCTTTCTGCTCATGCTGTC